ATAAGCTTGTTGATTATCTACAGAGGACATATTACTCCCCTCTTTTAAATTATAAGGTAACTTAAAAAAATTGTATATTATCAAAATATAAGATAATTTAAAAAATAAATTTTTATCAATAATTTTTTTAATATATTCTTTAAAAAAATTAAAATAATATTACAGTATAATAATTTAAATGTGTAAAGGTATTTTTTCAAAAATTTATATTTTTATTTAAAAATAATTTTATAAAGTATTATTATTATATTTTATTAGTATGTATAATTTTTATCTTAAATTATTTTTAATTTAAAATAAAAAGAGTAAGTAGTAATTTACTATTATTTAAAAAAAAAAAGGCGTCTTGAATGCTCCGAGTGGATATCAGTAATGATGGATTAAATGAATGATGGAAGCATGATTATATATGATTGTGAGGAGAGGCGGTGAATGTGAAAGTGTGTGATGGATTTGGGAGATTTGAAAGTGAATTCTTTCCTTTGGATTCCATCTTCCGTCTTATTTTATGCGAGACGCCGCCAGCTAATTCCTCCGCCTTCGATTTCAAAAAATGATAGGTTCAACCACCCTCCAAGCTTCTTCGGTCAGTTCTAAACCCCCACCCCAAAAATAAAAAATTACGATCAAAAGTACAAGTGGCGTGTAATCATTCATTTTATCCTGTGATCGTCATCTGTGCATACTCCTTTGGTCGTCCTCACTCCCACCCCTCCAATGCAATCAATTAGCGATGCACTTCACAATTATCCCGCCGGACCACCATACTGTGAGCGTTTATTCTCCCCCTCCCCCTCATGCACTTTTGAATCATTAATTAATTGATGACAGATGATTACCGCCATCAACTAAATCTCAGACGATAGCAATCTTTAAATACTCAATCCAACCTCCCAGTCTGACCCCACCCTTTACTGCAAGCGAAGACAAACTGAATAGAACATGGCCGTTTTAAAGGATAAAATAAAATAGAACAAAAAACGAGTTGAATATAATATACTGTCGCTGAGAAACCGGAATGGACTAGCGTTGCGGCACGATAATTTGCAACTGCACTGTAAATCTGTGATTTCTCGCGAGTGATCCGCTATGACTCGTGAGTGTATAAGTTTTGCGATCTTCAATCTAACAAATCTGTGAGTCTTTGGTCCCGTACTTTCTTTGCATTGAATTTGAGATAAATTATATGACCATTTATATTTTATAATAAAAATGTATCTTTTATCTGTGTGTTAAATATCCTGTATCAAGATTTATGGATAATTTATACATATAAAAAAATACAGCATGTTTTTAATTAAATTTTACTCTCAATAAAATAATTAATTATTTTTAATTTAATATTAATTTTTATATTTATTTTTATTCAATAAGGTATTTTGTTTAAAAATTAATATATTTTTAAATGAAAAAACTGCAGTATACAGATAGATTGGACCACGAGAGTATTGAGCAGGATGAATTAAAATAAAATGTATTCACCAAAAAACCAAAAAAAAAATACAATGTGATTAGCTTTTTCTTTCCACTGTCAAAAGTCTCAACGGATTACCTGACACACCATATCACGCCGCTCACAGCAACACAGCGCGGACACCAGCGTAATTAAATTAGCCAGATTTAAGGTGTGCGTTGAGGTCCGTTTTGAAGGTTGCGTTTAGCATGTTACGCTCGCCATTTTCCAATGCGATGACCTCACAGAACGTCTTGTCTCTGACTGCAAGAGGGTGGGAGGTGTACTGAAGACT